TCCTCCTTGCTCATCATCTCAAGTTCATGCAAGTAAGGAATCCATCACCAGGTGATTAGGAGATGCATACCAGATCATGAGATTGATCCGGTCCTGCAATTTTGTCACTCTTCCGCACTAGGTGGCCATCTAGGCATTCAGAGGATAGCTCGCAAGGTTCTTGATTGTGGTTTCTACTGGCCCACCATCTTTAGAGATGCATGGAAGATTTGAAGCACTTGTGAGCAATGTCAACGAGCAGGAGGATCCCTTACATGGAGACAGAAGATGCCTCAGTAGCCCATGCTATTTTTTGAGGTGTTTGATGTCTGGGGTATTGATTTCATGGGTCCCTTTCCTGTTTCTTTTGGTTTTTCCTACATTCTTTTAGCTGTTGGTTATGTTTCAAAATGGGTGGAAGCCAAACCCACCAGAACTAATGACGCTCAGGTTGTTGTGGATTTTGTTAGATCTCACCTATTCTATAGGTTTGGAGTACCTAGAGCTATTGTTAGTGATCAAGGCATCCATTTTTGTAATATATCTATGCAGGATTTGCTCAATAAGTATGGGGTAGTGCACATAATTTCTACACCCTACCACCCCTAAACCAATGGGCAAGCTGAAATTTCAAACAAGGAGATTAAGAGAATCTTAGAGAAGATTGTCCAGCCCAACAGAAATGATTGGAGTAACAGGTTGGATGATGCTCTTTGGGCGCATAGGACTGCCTACAAAGCAACCATAGGGATGTCTCCTTATCGAGTTGTCTTTGGCAAGGCATGTCATTTACCTGTTGAGATTGAGCATCGGGCCTATTGGGCTGTAAAGACCTGCAACTTCTCCATTGATCAGGCTGGTGAGGAAAGGAGGTTGCAACTAAATGAGCTTGATGAGATCCTCTTGGAAGCCTATGAGAATTCAAAATTCTACAAGGAGAAAACCAAGAAGTTCCATGATAGCTTGTGATGGAGTAGGTTGAAGCAATGGATGGAATTCTTGCTTCTTTGGACCTTCTCCGAATATGGAGACCTTTAACTTGAGGCTTCCACCGAATGGATGATCAATGAAGAGGATTGATTGGACTGAATAGGATTCCTAAGCTAAGGATGGAAGCATCCAAGCTCAAGAACCAAAAGAAAGCTCACTTTCAAGAGTAGGAAAAAGGTATAGGTTCTCCTAGTTCTAAGTGAGTTTCGGTGAACTTTGAGAGAGAATGAGGCTGAAGTAATTTTCAGAAAATTCTCTATTATTCAAAAGTGTTTACAAGAGTGAAGGTTTCAAGCATTTAAAGCCACGGATCAAAGGAGTCTTGGAGCCATTCCATGTGCACTCAAAAGTGGCGCCAATTTTGAATTCAAATTCAAATTTGAATTCAAAGTTGAATGTCCACTTGCACATGCCATGTGCAGCCAGCCCTTCTAGAATTCTAATTGCATTTAGAAGTAATTTAGGGTTCATTTAAGTGTACACATGTGCAGCCACCTTTGGCACAAAACATGTGACTCAAATGAAGCTCTAATTACTCCTAAATGTAATTAACATTCTATGATTCACGCTTTAATACTTAATCCTTCTAAATTCCTATTCTAATGGCCTAAATACAATGGGCAAGCAAATACAATGAAAAGGAAAAATTACAAGAATTAAAATAGCCCAATATTGGGTACCAAAAGCCTAAAGGCCCAGGAAGCCCAAAACTAGGCCTAATAAGCCTATAACCTAAAATGCTATCCAAAATGGTCAAAATACAAGACCCAAAATATATGAAACCTACACTAATATGATATATGCAAGACACAAAGTAAATAGCTAAAACAAGATATGGCCCATGAGACACTCAACTTGGGCCTTCCAAGCCCATCGGGCCCATTGGGCCTTGACTGGCCCAAACCTTCATGTCTAACCCATTCCTCTTGGATCTTTTAGGTTGTCACCTCTTGCCTTCCTAGGCATGATTCCATCAGCTTGATAGCTAGGAAGGACTTCGTGGTTGGCCAGAAAGTTCTGTTGTACAATTCTCGACTCAGACTCATGGGTGGTAAGTTATGATCAAAGTGGATTGGACCTTTTGTTGTTACTAATGTTTATCCTTATGGTACAATTGAGATCAAAAGTGAATCCACAGATAAGAGCTTTAAAGTCAATGGGCATCGGCTAAAGCCATTCCTCAGGAATCCATCTTTGTTGGATGTTGTTGTAGAGGAGATGTCTCTACTTGACCCTGCTTCTCTCCCACCATGATTTAGGGAGTTTTCTTTCCCCAACCCCTTCTTTAATTTTCTTACACATGTCCAATTCTGTTGATTGTTCTGTTTGCTCTGATCTTCTATTTGTGCCACATTGGGAGAATGTGTAGTTTAAGTGTGGGGGGGGACTGTTTTAGTTATATGCTTTTATGGTTTATTTGTTATTTTTGGGTTTAGGTTTTATGTTTAGTTGTTATGTACAGTTTTGCATGTTTCTCTTTGATTTCTGGGTTTTGATAGTTTGTAGGCACTTACTTCATTCTTGGATAGGAGTTTCTTGTTACTGTATGGTTTGAAATCCCTGTTTTTCTCTACTTGGAAAGATGATTTTGAGGTTTGAGAGGTTGTTTTAATTATGATAGATATACCCTATGTGAGGATTTGAGCCACTCTCTATTCTTTCTTGTGTTATGCCTCTTGATTGCTTGCACAGTTGCCTTGTTTTGACTCTGTTTGATACTTCTTGATTCACATGCATGTTTGGATATGATTAAGGCATTTTTGTTCTGATAAGCCTCTGGCCAAATAAGCTTACCCCGAATTAATTCCTTTGTTAACCCCTGTTGAGCCTGTATTCCCTTTCTTTGTTTGAAGCTCATTACAAGCCTTAAGTGAAAAACCATGATGACCTTAACCTTAGGGAATTTTTGGAGCTTTGGAATTGTTTTGGGAATAAGTTCTTAAGTGTGAGGGTGTCTCATTGGTTATTGTATTTTGGCTAGTTGATTCTTCCTGTTGTATATGTCTTAGTGTTTCATGATATACTATTCATTCATAAAAAAAAGATGATTGAAAAAAAAAATTGAAATGAAAATGAAAAAAAAATCATCATCAATAGAAAAAAAATAATAATAGTGAATAAAAGAGAAGTTGTTTTGTTTGAGGAAAAGTAAAATAATTGGTGTTAGCGATTTATTAGAGATTTTTGGGTTTGCTCTTATGCTTATTTCCTACTTATTCCCCATTACTCCTCTAGTTCCTCTGGTTTGTAGCTACTTATCCCATATTTTATCCTCTACGTTGTCCTTGACCACATTACAACCCTGAAAACACCTTATGATCCTTATGTGCATGTTTATTGGGGTGTTGATTTTAGAGGCTTGCTAAGTCAATCTGTTGCTTTTTTTCATGAGTGCTTTGAGAGTATACAGTTGACTAGACACTTGAGAGATACAGTGATACAATGCATCTTGTGAGGTTCTATTGCTTTTGATTCACCCCTTGAGCTGATTGATTGTCTTTCCATGTTTTGAAATGCCTGGATGATTTCCATAAGTATCTGGTTTCTCTGACTCTTTGTGTGTTGGATGTTGTCTACTCCTTTTCTTTTCCCAGGATTCATTGAGGTTTGTGTAAATCTGTTTGTTTTCTTGTGTGTATTCTTGCTTTTGTTTCTTCCTGTTGTGTCACTCTCTTTGTTGTCTTTGGAATTTTTCCTTGCTCTACTTTATGATTTTTCCCAGGAGTGCAAAAGGTTAAGTGTGGGGGAATTTGATGAGTCATTATTTTCCCTTATTTTCTTACCTTTCTGTACTTATTTTAATCTCTGATTTGTGCTTAATTGTTTATATTCTGTACTGGTTTCTATTTGGGCTTTAATTGGACCGGTAATTCATATTTTAACTAATTTGAATTTTCTGAATTTAATTATTCCAATTTTTATTTTCAGGGTAGTTTAATAATTATTTGGGCTTGCAATTAATTTTTGGACTTCAAGAGGAGCTACCACATCATATGCCATATCACCACTGCACCATTTTCCACCTCAGCATTTAATTTCATTTTATATTCTATTTTATTGTAGTTTGGGTCAGACTTGTATTGTTAAGGGCCCATTAGTCATTCTAGGTCAGACTTAACCTAGGGATTGTTGCCATGCAAGGGGGCAGCCTCCATTATGTGATTGAGATTTTTGTTTTGTGTTTTCAGCCTAGTTTTTTTCTCTGGTTTTTCTTCTTCCTTGTGAGACAAAATCAGGCTGAGTATTACCTATTCATCTATACAGTTTTGTTTCATCTTCATCTTCATTGCTCTTTTTTTATTTACGTTCTTACTGTTCTTATGCATATTCGTTTTTCTGTTCTGAGTTCATTACTGTTCCATTCATATTCATTTTCTGTCCTCCATTTTTCATTTTTTCCAGTATTCCATTCGTTTTGATGTTTAGCTTTATGTCTCTGCTGCTATGTTTTGATTTTATGGAGGGCTAAAACCCCAGGGTTGGGCCCTTGGAAGATTGCAACCCTCTGATGGAGGTTCTTTGTGCGTTGCATTTTTGCTCCGCTTAATCTCCCTTGTGAGGTCTCTGTTCTGAGGCGTTCAACTTCTGAGTCATGCTTAATGACTTTTGGTTGTTTGCATTCAGTATCTCAGGTTGCTTAATCCTGAGGAAGGATGTCTGACAAGGTTCACGTTTGCTTAATTCGTGTAGTGAGGTCTCAGGTTAATCTTTGCTTAGTTGGTTAATCTGGACTGAACAGGATTAAGCACGGACAGATTATCTGTTGTGAACCGAGGATATCAAAGGTGCATTATGTTCAAGGGTCTGACCTATTTTAATTACTATAATTAATTCATATCTTTTCTCTGTGTTTTATAATTTTGATAATCTGCTCAAAAACCCCCCCAACCACGTGTTCGATCCTTTGACAGAAAGAACTGGTCCTTGGGAGACGACCTAGGAGTCACTTCCTAGTACTGCACTTTAATTCAATTATTTGACCGAGTACGACTTCAATCAAAGAGGATTGCGCTAATACCAAGGAAAAGCCCATGACATTTTTTTAGTTGGGTTATGTATTAAAGCCCATGTAGACTAGGGTTGGCCTACTTGGGCTTGTACTTTGTTTGTGGGCTTTGTATTTTGGCCAAGTAGAATAGGTTGGTTTCTAGGCCTTGTATTTCGGCCACTGTAGTTAAGGATTTCATGTGATTTTACATTTAATGAAATTTGAGGCACATTTAAGGTGTAATTAGAGTCATGTGACCGACCATATGGATGATGCATATGGTGTGACTCAAATTCACCTCAAATGTGAACCAAATCACATTAGAATGCAAACTTCACATGTGCCACCTAGAGTTGCCGAGAATCTTGCAGTGGGAATTAAAATTTGAACTTTCAAATTTGAATTTAGGTGCCAAGAGTTTAAATTAACCATACCATGGTTAATTTTAAACTTTCGGCCAACTAGCTTCCTTGGCACTCTTCCGTGGCTTATATGTAGACTAGGACCTTGTGTATTTCTCACTTTCAAACATTATATAAGAGATTACTTATGCATTTTTCTCTCTATCTGAAAGTCACCTTGAGTAAGGAGAAACCTTTCTTCACCTTGAGATTTCCTCCTTGTTTCCTTGTAGTTCTATCCAAGGAGCTTAGGAAAAACCTTTTCAACACTTATCCTTCTTTTCGTTGGCTTCTAACCTTGAAGATTTCTCAAGGATTCAAGAAGGAGTGGCGTGTGAAAAATCCATGGAGTTTTTTCAAATCAACACTCCATCAAGTGGTATCTAGAGCTCGGTTGCTTCAAAAGATAAGTTAATCAATTCCTTTTGGTGAATTTGTCAATTTTGTGATTGTCTTGAGTTTTTGTTGAATGAATCTAGTTGTTGATTCAAATTTTGATGGATCCACCATTTGCTTGCTTCAATGATTCATATATGTTAATCAATTTGCTTTTGCCTCATATAAACCATACTTTGAAAAAGTGCTATAGG